AGCAGTTTTGAGCTGTTCATTGTTCAAAAGAGTATGGACAGGTCCTTATATATATGCTATTGGGTGGTGGAAGGGGATTTTCTGCCTTGATGTCTATTGGAAGGGGATCTTTCTCTTGATGGCTCTGCTATAGAGGTGGCTTCTATTCTTTCTTGTCCTATGCAGGGGTTTTAACTCTGTTGGTACAAATTTGGAAAATGGCAAGTGTTTAGCGTAGATAAATGGAAAAATTTGAGTGAAGACCAACTATCATCACAAAATTAAGTTAAAAAATCCAACAGGACAAACAACAGTTTAGGTACATCAACCATTCTATTAATCTGATGGACATAACAAACTTAGAACAATTGTGACAATTTATTAAATAGGTATGAGAGAATTAAGCCAAAACACCCGAGCTTTAATAGCATCAAATCAATGGGTGTTGATTTTGTTGCTACAAATTTGAAAAATGGTAGGTGTTAGTGTAGACAAATGGGAAAATTTTAGTGAAGACATGGCTATTATTATAGAATTAAGGCCAAAAAATTAACTGCACAAACCACAAGTTAAATACGGCAAGCATTCTACGAATGTGGTGGACAAAAGTATAATCTATCATTGCCACAAATTATTAAATACCTATAACATAATGAAACCAAAAGACCCAGACTTTAATAGAATCAAACCAAATACCCATAACAGAATCAAACCATGTGCAGTACAAAAGAATAGGTAATCTATAGACACCTGTGGTCAAAACTGATACATCTATTGCCATTTATAGGTTATGTGGGAACCGAATTAAATCAAAACCCTAGGTCAGATAATTCCTTCCATTTGGGGATTATTTGACCTAATTGGGAGTTACTCAACCTACTTGGGAGTTACTCAATTTAATTGGGAGTTAACCAATTAAATTGGGAGTTACCTAGCTAATTGAGTTGGGATTGATTTGATTCCTACCACAATTAGGGATTTTAAGTATACCAAGTTGGGAGGTTCCTCGTCAGCTCAATCTTCGATAAGGAACCAAAATACTAACTAAATAAGAACTCGCCAACAAAACAAACAAACAAACATGAACACCGTTCCACAACCTCTCTTGTTTAAACTAACTAGTAGTGCTGCTTTTGGGTTCATATGCTTTTTATTAGGGGAGAATGGGTCCTCATATTTGAGGGAATATTTTCTTCTTCTTTTTTTTGGCAGGAGACAAACTTTCCATGTTTATCAAATCTTTTGAGAAATATTTTTACTCGCCACTTTAACCCAATGTGTACCCTTACCACCATTCTCAACACTTGACGCTTGTCCATAAATATAACCATAGTTAACTCTTTGCTTTATATTTGTGAAAATAGGATTATGTTTATGAACACGTGTCATGTGTTGAGAAGAGCGCTGATGATACACCTTGGGTTAATTCAATGTTTGGGGCATGTGTCACTTGACCGGGTTTTCATGGTACACTTATGTGGGGCTGCTCTTTTTTGTTGTCTCTTTCTCTTGAGGAGGAATTTGGGGAGCTGAGAGGACAGCTGCTATAGCATGGTTTCTTCAAGCATAAGGCTGTTGGATGGCAACTCCCCTTACCCTTTGGCTGAAGAATGAAATAAAATAATGGAGAAGAAGATAAGAAGAAAGGAATAAACGTATGATAAGGATCCGAAGAAAGGAATTATCTCATTTCGAAATCTAAAAAAGTAAATGTGCTTTGTTTAGTGAACTGGGGCAAAGCATCAGCTATTGCGTAAGCATTGGTTTATTACACTTTTCACTTTCTCCGTGTATAAATTTTCTTCCACTGGTTTCTGCACTTATTTAATATTTCCTTGTTAATCTTTGACATTCCTCTTGAAGCTTTTCAGCCAATCGAGAAAATTAGTAATGGCAGAAGATAACCATGCAATTGGGATTGATCTGGGGACAACTTATTCGTGTGTGGCAACGTGGCAGGCTGATCATGTAGAAATCCTGGTGAACCATCACGGTAACAGGACAACTCGTTCTTATGTTACATTCACTGACAGTAAGAGGTTGGTAGGTGATGAAGCATTTAACCAAGCCGGGAGATTCCCCACCAACTCAATCTTTGGTAAGAATAAAATGATCAACAGTAAAATTGTTCATTGTTTCCTTGTAATTTTCGTTAGAACTGGAGAAATATATACTGTGTTTTTTTAGAGCAATTCTGCAAAAGTGGGGTATTATGCATAAATCCATAAATTGAATTGTTTCCTGACATAATCTAAACTGGAAATGATTTACAGATGCGAAGCGGTTAATTGGTAGGAGATTTAGTGACGAAACTGTTCAAAATGATACCAGGCGCTGGCCATTCAAGGTCATTGAAGGTCCGGCTGACAAGCCCATGATTGTGGTTAACCACAAGGGCCAAGAGAAACAGTTTGCTGCTGAAGATATCTCATCAATGGTTCTGGCAAAAATGCGGGAGATTGCGGAGGCCTTCCATTGCTCAAAGATTAGTGAGAAAAATGCAGTTATCACTGTCCCCTCTTACTTCAACGACTCTCAGCGCCAGGCTACATTAAAAGCTGGTAAATTAGCCGGCTTAAATGTGCTGCGTATTATCAACGAACCAACTGCTGCAGCCATAGCTTATGGCATCGACAAGAAAGCCGGTTGGTTTAGGAAGAGAAACGTGATGATATTTGATTGGGGTGGTGGTACATTGGATGTGTCGCTACTAACCATAGGCCATGGTGTCTTTGACGTGAAGGCGACTGCCGGAGACACTCACCTTGGAGGTGAAGACTTGGATAACAGAATGGTAGATTACTGCGTCGACGAATTCAAGACAAAAAATAAGGTGGACATTTGTGGAGACCCCAAAGCTCTTCGGAAGGCCAAAACCGCGTGTGAGAAAGCAAAGAAGGCACTTTCATTTTGCTTTGACATTGATATTGAAATCGACTCTTGGTATAACGGTGAAGATTTTAATACAACTTTCACCCGGGACAAATTCGAAGAACGGAACATGGATATCTTCAACAAGTGCATGGTGATTGTGAAAAGGTGTTTGGAGGATGCCAAAATGGACATAAGCGACGTCGATGACGTTGTTCTTGTTGGTGGTTCTTCTAGAATCCCCAAGGTGCAAGAGCTATTGCAGAAGTTTTTCATGGGCAAGGAGTTGTGCAAGAGCATTAATCCCGATGAGGCCGTGGCTTATGGAGCCGCTGTTCAAGCTGCAGTCTTGAGTGGGAACGTGACGGGGAAGCTTCAAGACTTCACACTCTTGGATGTCATCCCAATGTCACTTGGGACGGAATGTGGTCATGAACACCATATGGCCGTCATGATCCCAAGAAACACCAAAATTCCCACAAAGAAGCACCAAATTTTCGTTACAACTTGTGACAACCAAAGGGCCGTCCTCTGTGGAGTTTTCGAGGGAGAGAATGAGTTCACCAGAGATAATAATTACTTGGGTGGATTTACCATGGATGGCATTCCTCCAGCCCCTAAGGGAGTTGGTAAAGTAGATGTTTGCTTTTCTATCGATGCAAATGGAATTCTGAATGTTTCCGCTGAGGTCATATCCACCGGCCAAAAGAGAGCCATTACAATCAACAGTGACAGATGAACTTGCGGAATTAACAGATAAATTTTTAACTAATTAATGCGCAGGTTGTGTTGTTTTGGATGAGTGATGCTGTAGGCTGGTCCGTCTACCGTTGCGTGGATTTTATTCTTGTTTTCAATAAGAGAAGAGAAGTGCTTGCTTAATTACTGTAACTATGTAAGTAATAAATTATATATGTTTTATTTGATTGGAGTTCAACTTTAAGTTGTTTGTTTGTAAACATCATTTTGTAAAATCTTGTCCTAAAAAACTAAAAATACCAATTAATTACACCAACTTTTTGACACAAGCAAGAACCAGTTGAGTGGAGAATAGTTTTGATTTGTAGACCAATTGTCTCAAGTTTGAATGAAAGATTGTCTTGGCGTTCAAAATGTAATAAATTGGTGCCTCTATTATTACTGAATAACATGTAAACTATACTATAGTATCCAGTATCTCAAACTAGGAAGCATCATAATTTTTTTTATTTTTAAATTACAAATTTCTGAGGGTCTTTCTCCTTCCCTGTAAACGTAAACTATACTATAGTATCCAATATCTCAAACTAGGAAGCGTACCGAACAATAAGCTAATTAAATGAGACGCCAACTTGCCCTCTATTCCAAATCTATGAGTACATCTCTCCTACTTCAACTAATACCTACACAAGGCAAAGGTAAACGAAGAAACAAGCCCATAAGTTAAAGGAAATGAAATCATTAAACCTTATCAATGTTCCTAGGTAAATATTATTAGCTCTCAAAATCCAGCCCATAATAAATTACATATTTTTTATTTAAAAAAAATTGAGTTTTGTAGAAAATGTTTTGTTTTTTCCTTGATGGAACCGAGTTAGTGATAGTACCGAGTCAGCAACTATGACATTGATATAATAATTGTAATTTCTTTGATAATGAATTTGGATATATTTGTTGAATACTTATCGCATGGTTCTTTAAAAAAAATACAAAGAATACTTTAAGCAAATCAAACCTTCTTAAAGAAAAATAAATAAAACAACCCATAACATTTCATCTGTAAAAAGAAAAAAAATTGTAAGATTCATGAGTCCGTTGATTATTCCCATGGGTTAGAAAATTGTAAGATTCATGTGTACTTCTGTTCTAATCTGTTATGACTCGAGTGCAAGGTGTCTCGATTTCATGGTTGTACAATGAAATTTGGGTAAAAAGTAAAACAGAAAGTCAGAAAGATAGGATGATGGCGCAGATACAAGAAACTATTAAATTATTTTTTACTCATTCAAGTAAAACTTTTAGGGTGCCGGGAGCATTTTTACACGGATAATACTAGACTTATCAAATTCTTATATCACATTGTGTATCACCTCTTTAATAGAGATGGAGCCTACTGAATAATGCTACTCTTACCATATTTGTGTACTACATTCATATACCACTTTATGTGACAGATGAGGTGGACAACCACATCAATTAAATTGGCTTTGGCTTGAAGTAGAAGTTTCATCGCTTGGGGTGTGTCTTTTCTTTTCTTTCCCTTTCTGGTTAATATTGTGTCAAATATAATTTCCCTGAATAATGTTTTTGGTAAGATGCTCTGGATTAAGTAATACAAAAAATTGGGTTTCTTTTTCTTTTGAGAGAATTATTTGACTATAGCCGTTGTTCTTTTGTTTTTCCTCTCTTAGTTGTTGCTGCAAAGAATGTGAAAGAGGGAGAGATACGGATGGATTCCGAGTCTTTATATTTAGTATCGGTGCATTTATCCACATTTAAGACTAAAGGAGATTGTGGGGAAGAGCGAGAGATTGCGGGGAAGGGAGAGAGGCCGAAGTATAGAGGAAGAGATGGGCACACGGTGCAAAAGGAGAGTTTTAATCTAATTCAATTATGATGAGTTGAATATAATTAATTTTCATTAGACCAATTAAATGGTTAAGATTGTCTTAAATGTGTGTAAATGCACCGATGCTAAATATAGAGACTAGGGATTCGGAGAGATACGGACTGAGGGAGAGAGTTTAGGCAGTGGCGTATGGTGCCGCTATTCAAGCCGCAGCCTTGAGTGGGAATGGAAAGGGGAAGTTTATTCAAGACTTCACTCTCAAGGATGTCACTCCTCTGCCGCTTGTTATGGAGGGTACAGATGTTAATGGTTTGAAAAAATTCATGAATTTGATTCCAAGAAACTCTATAATTCCCGTGAGGAAGGACATAGAACTTTGTACTGTTAAGGACAACCAAGTTTTGATCGACTTCCGCATATATGAAGGTGAGAGTAGCATACCAGCAAATCTCAACTTTTTGGCTGAATGCAGCCTCCATGACATTCCTCCAGCTCCCAAACATGTTCATATATTCCATGTTTTCTTCGAAATTGATGCCGACGGTATCTTGAGTGTCTCTGCTGTCAATAAGTCCACTGGCCAGAAGAATGAGATGATAATCATTAAGCTGTAAATGTTTAACGCATTTGCAGACCAATCATCTATTCTAACACTACTCAAGCTTAAGTGTTGGAGATTAGTAAAACCAGAAAAGGAGGGCACTTTAAGAACTGTATACACTTTCACGAATAGAGACCTCAAAGATCCACAAAGATGGCAATTCCATCATAGGCATATCTGTTTTAGTTATCACTCGGAAAATCTCATCACACAAGCTTGTACATAAATTCAAACGTATGCGAAATCATGCTTGTACATAAATAAATGATTGATGACCCACTGACCACAATTTGCATGATATATTCTTGTCGGAAATTGTATGTTCTAGTAAAATAAAACTTTTAATGTCTGTTTGTAATAGAAATAGAACACTGTTTTTATGTAAATATTTTCTTATTTTAATATTTTAATTTATTTAAGATATTGGAGTGAACTAAATAAATAATTTCATGACATTGAGGAATTTTTAGCTGCCATGCGAAGCTGGACGAAGAATTCCAACAAGAACCAATGGCAGCTCAGCTTGCATATACAGTTCCTCCTAGCCTCATTGGAATAAAAGTCATTGAGCCCCAAATGGTCTCCATTGCCCAGTGGCCTATACATTAATTATAAATGGGGTCGAGCGATCCCATGGAACTGGGAAAAAAGGCTTGAAAGCTCATCTGGCGACCCCAAGAGATGGCTGGTGGGCGACCTCTGCGTGCAGACCAAGTGCTCAATAAAATGCCGCAATGAAATTGTCGGCATTTTTCGACAATTCTTGGTAGGAAGAGCATGGCACGCACTGCTCTTTTTTTAAAATCGCCTGGCCAAAACGCGTCGTGGTGCTTTCATCGTTTGCCCCAATGATGGCCTTTCTACAATTACCGAGGCCTACATTTCCCACCCCCAAAATTCAAATTCCTTATCTCTTCCCCCAATTACCTTGGCTGCCTCTGCTTCGAGTACGATCACAGTTCCCTTCTTCTCTCCAAGATTCTTCCAAAGAACCCCAAGATTTTTGGTTCTATTCTCAAAATTTGTCAACCAATTTATTGTTTGAGTTCATTGAGATTTGGGATTTTGTTGTAGGTGGTGAATCCACATAAGGCAATTACCATGGATCCAGCACTGAACCCATACCTGCTGACAAATGTCGGCCTCTTGACCGACTCCTTTAGAGAACAGAGCATGATGTGAAAGACTACATGGAAGCCATGCGAGCATTGGAGAAAGACGCAAGAAGTTGCTATAATACACAAAACACAAAAACATCTCTAGGCCATTGACAAGTCTTGCTAACAGCATTATAAACTACATTATTACAATATTAGGGTTCTATCATAACAGATAAACACAGCGGTTGCATCCATTGACATCCAGAATAAGGTTTTGAAGTTATAACACAAAAAAATCTTCAACCTTCATTTTTCCCCCCTTTTCATTTCCTTTGTTTTTCCTGAAAGACAACTCTGGCAGTGGCAACAGAATTCATCTTACTTTCATTTACCACTCGAATATGAGTTGATTGCTGGGGTGAATAAACTAAAACCATTTCCTTCAAGTTCTTAGCATCCTCAAGCATATACCTTGCTAGCTCCAGTTCATTGTTCCCATTAGAAAGCTCTATTGTTGCCTCCTTAAGCTGATCAATAAAAGCCAAGTTTTGAGATTTCCAGAATTCCTTACTAAATCCACACGCCTGGAAAGGAAACAAGCAAATCAATAAATAAAAAATTATAGAGACCAAATGTTACTCTCAGAACTGCACTACCTACTTATGATGATTATCCCTTCTGCATAATAGGGTTATACATCGCTCGGGATACAATAATTTAAGCTCTAAAAATAACATTTCTCAGAGCACAACTATTTTTAGTTTTTTTGACCCAGATCAATACACTCGTCATTTGAGTGTTGTGGACTTGTATGTGTCTCTGTGTGTGTGTGTGTGTGTGTGTGTGTGAGAGAGAGAGAGAGAGGTGTGTGTGTGTGTGTGAGAGAGAGAGAGAGAGAGAGAGAGAGGGTAACAGACTTGAACTCTTACTTCAGGTTTATGGATGAATAAGGAAGGGTCAGACTTTATGTACAAAGTTTTCAAATTGGGCATTCCTCTCAGAAGAGAGACCATTGCCGGGACTATGTCATCATCCAAGCTCTCAATATGCATACCCAGGTAAGAAATATCATCAAACAGTGTAGACACAGGACCCTCCCTCAACAGAGCCTGCAACATTATATAGATGAAAGGCAAACTCTTAAATGAAACAAGTGTGAGCACCCAGAACACTATGATGAAAAAAGATTCACACAACTGAGCTAATTGCAAACAATTTCAATAATCTACATAATGATCATTAGTAAAAAAGTTATTATTATTTTATACTTCCGGTTATGTTCGCCTTCTGTTTTTTAACCAAAGAAAAGATGGGAGCAAACTGGGAAATCAAAAAAATAAAACAATCTTAAATAGTTTTAAAAAAATCATTTTAGTTCCATCTATTCTCCCTCCTCTCTGCCTCCCAATTGTCATCTCCCTCAATCCTTTCACTCCTTAAGACATAAATAAAATAAAATATAAAATATAAAAAGTATCAAATGACCCTTTTTTAATTTCCAATTTTGTGTTGTTTGTAGATTGACAAGTTCATGCATTGATTTCAAATAAAACTTGCAGCACCAATATGAAATATCATCCATGTAATACCATCACTCGGTTTTGAAACATCTTTTAAGTTTACAAAACATAAATTAGCCATCCCTACTATTGCCACGCTGTAGAATCATAGCAAAGATATGTTCCCTGCAATATCCTTCAAAAGATTCCAGAAAATACATAATCTAGCATAAGTTCATATTGCAGGGCATCATGTTTTTGCTACAAGAGAGTTTCTGTCTGAATTTTTACCTTGGTCATCTCTCCACTTAGAATAAGGACTTTAGCCCTGCATACACTGCAAAGAACCTCAAGTACATTGCTGAAGTCATTGTTATCTACCCCATGCTTCAGAAAAATCTCAGCCTTCTCTAAACACATTAGTTTCCCCAGATTTTGGTTATTCAACAAATTCCCAATCCATTTCAAATATTTAAGATTTGGAGCAAAAACTTTGAAGGATCTGCTGCTAGTTGAAGCAAATTTCCACTCTATATGCATGTCTTCAAGTTTCTCACAAGAGATATTAAGATGACAGAGGCCACAATAAGAGGGAAACACAAAACTAAAAGATTCCAACGACGAGCTTTCCATGGTGATATTTTCTACTTCAACATGTTCAAGATGCAATTCCTTAATGCATTTGCAAGAACACGAGATCCATTTGCAAAACCCCTCATCTATTGTAACATTTGTCAACTTTAAGTACTGGAGATTAGTGGAACTAACCAAGGAGGGCGCTGTAAGAATTTTATTGCAGTGCACTGATAGAGACCTCAATGATCCACAAAGAAAGATGCAAGATGGCAACTCTAGCATCGTCGTATCAGGTATCCTCAACTCAAGATCAAGCACTTCAACATTACACCTTACTGCCATATGGATCCACGTGACTACTCGGTAAAGCTCGTTATAGAGACTTGCAGCTTTTCCGTAACTGAGACTCCAACAAATACGAAAGCAGTGTATCTTATTCTCCCTACGACGAACCAAGAACCTATCCAAAGAACTCAACAACTTGAATTGCTTAGCATAAGAGGATTTATTCCAGTTGTTAAATTCATCAAAATTCAATGAGGGCGTTGACAGATAAAGTTCTCTGCACTTTTTGGATAAAGTGCCGAAACGAGTGAGATCCAATATAGAAACTGACGAAAGAATTTGATGAGCAACGTCGTTGGGCAGATCACTAAATCTATCTTTCATATGGTCAGGACAAGCTCCTTGAGCCTGAGAACTTGTAGTTGCCAATAACTTGCGCTTAGGTTCCATGATACTTGTTGTCCTTTTGTTTTTGTAATAGCACCTTACACCTACTAAGATAAAGGACACGAAAACACTACGTAAATATATGACATGGACAGTACAAAACCCAAGACCGTTAAATCTCTATATGCTTCTAATTTGGAACATAAGTTTGCCAAGTTCTACTATCTTTGAGTCATTAATAGAAGATTCAAAACAACAACAAAAAAATTGCCATAAATTAGAAAACAACCTACAGACCATTTGTTAAATTTGATTCAATATCAAAAAGTTAAATCTTTTTGTAAAATTTTATATATATATATATCTGTTTTATAAAAGACGGCATTATGTGCAACTAACCCTTAAAGCCGTCCTGAAGGTTAACGAAACCAGAAAATGCTCTGTGAAAGTTTGCAGCTTTTCCTCTTAATAGAATTCAAAATCTTCCAAAGTTATCAATTACCAACAAAAAAATTGTAGAGGAAGAAAGAAAAAGAACTAAGCTAACAGCAGTAAATGGGCTTTACCTAAAGTTTATTGAAGATGAAAGCCTCTGTTCCAACCTTGGAGACGAAGGCACGAGCAGTACTGAAAGAGATTCAGATGGTGAAAGCTGAAGAATTTCAAAAAGGAAATAGAGAAATTGGAATCAGCAAGGGCATAGAATTGGGGGGGGCGGTGTGGGGATGAATCTTTCATCATCTTTTTTTCACGATGTGCTTCACCCTAGGCTACCCTTCTCCGAAAGCTCTTTGTCTAATCTTTGACTAAAGGTACGGCATCTCTTTTTCTTGTTTTTTTCTTTTGGCCGTGCAATATTGAGAGTAATGTTTCATTTATTAATAAGACAATTAATCACTAAAAATTTGAATTTTTTTTTTAAATGTTAGGGGATCGTTTGGCACCTTGGATTGGATAAGTCACTAAATCTTAGATATATTGAAGGAGAAAATAAAGATAGAATTGAATGATTTTCCATTTTGGGAGGATTAAGAGGAATTAGTTATAAAGTGTTGTTATCTTACCATTTTATGGGGATTAGATATGATACGTTTTCTTCACGAGTAATCTATCTTATACCTTCAACTTGATCAAAACGACCATAGGATTATTGTTTGAGGAAAAGGTTTTATCCTTTAGCTCTTGCAAGTGGCAACTAGTCAATTTGTAGGCATTGCCACCCACAAAATATATGCTCAAAGGTGATCATGATTAGGTAAAATCTCATTCATCCAATAGAAATGTCAAACTGCATCGATCAACATAAAATTAAGGTTTTAATGCTATTACACAAATAAATTCTTCAAAAAATAAATAAATAAATAAATAAACCTCTCCTTGTCTTCATTTCTGTCTTTCCTTTCTTGATTGCAATTTGCAAGGAGATTTAAACCACTTGAGATAATGCTCAAGGGGAATAAGAGGGCTTGGGCCTTCTGGTTCTCTTCTTAAAGACAATTGTTGCAGGGGAGTTCATCTCAATGTCATGTCCTGCTTCAATTCGAGTTGATTGATGGGGTAAATAAACTATAACCATTTTCTTCAAATTCTTAGCACCCTCCAAAATATACCTTGCAAACTCCAACTCATTACTCCCACTGGAAAGCTCAACAGTTACCTCCTCAAGCTGATCAATGATAGCCAAGTTTTGGGATTTCCAGTATTCGTGATCAAATCTGCTTGCCTGAACAAAGGAACAAGAAAATCCATTGAGAATTTATTTTTAGAAGGGGTTTTAACTTTAATGGTCCTTTGAATTTGTACCGATTTCATTTTTGTCCTCCAAATCAGTTTTTACTTTATAACTTCCTCCAATTGTGTCACTCGAGTGATAATTTGGTCATTCCGTCAATATGGCATCAATTTAAAGGGTAGAATTGTCAATTCATGTACACATTAATCATAAAAACGACCTATTCATTTGACGAATGAAATTACCAAATTGCCACACGTTACACAATTGGAGGATGCTAAATCGGAGTTGGAAGACTAAAATGAAAATCAAGTACAAGGTGAGACACTATTGCAATTAAAAACCCCTTTTTAGAAAACACCAAGAAATAATTTTCAAAATATAAAGAAAGTAAAGCTTCCCAGTGATAAACAAACACTTTTACTTACAGTAATAACTTCAACATGTTTGGTAAACAAGAGGGGTATAATTGGCTCATACTTCATGTGAAACGTAATCAGATTACGCATCCCTCTAAGAAGAGATGCCAATGCTGGAACTAGGCCATCATTCAAACATGTACTCTGTATACAGATGTGACCGATTATCAAATATTCTTGGCGGAGATCGTCGTTCCTTGGTTAGAGCCTGCAATGAAATAAAGCCATCATTTATATTAACAGAAAAATAAAGCTCAACAAAATGTATATACAAAACAAAAAAAGGAAAAAAAAAACTTAATATTACCTTTGTGGTCTCTTCATTTAGAACAAGAAGTTTAACACTGTGGATGCTGGAAACCACACTGAATAGTTTGCTGAAATCCTCACTCCTAGGGTGGAGAAAAATCTCAGCTTTTTCTAACCACATCAATTTCTCCAGATATTGGCGGCTCGCCAAAGTTCCAATCCATTTCAAGTGTTTAAGATTCGGAGCGAAAATGTTTATCGAGTGACCGGTTGGGATAACTTTCCAGTCAATGTAGATATGTCTTCAAGCTTTTCACCTGAGATGTTAAGATGAAAGTTGCCATTGGGGTTTTGAAAACTATAATAAGCATAGCACGAAACGAAACGCAGGGTTTCCAGAGATGAGCTGCTGATGGTGATCTGTTTTGCCCCGTGAGCAAGCTCAAGCCACAGCTCCTTGATGCATTTGCAGGAACACGAGATCCATTGGCCCAACCCCTCGTCTATGGTGACATTTTTCAACTTCAAGCATTGGAGGTGACGCAGCACAAGCAATAAAGGTTTCAAACGAAAAAGTAACAAGGGAACTGGATTCCACCAGAAAATTAAGAGAAACTCTCTTTGATTAATTGTATTAAAATCTGAAGTGTACAAA